GTGTGTGTGTGTGTGTGTGTGTGTGTGTGCGTGTGCGTGTGCGTGTGTGTGCGTGTGCGTGTGTGCGCGCGTATGTGTGTGTGTATCTCACCTGAATCGAAACACCGAAATTTCCTCCATCTTCAATCATCGGCACGAGCGTGTACAGGTACCGTTGAATCGCATACAGCGAGTTAACAACATTCACGGCATGATCTCGTACTTGTTGATTCTGGCCAACTAAGTAATCATTGGTAGCAGAACCACCCCCCGATGGAAGCAGTCCTCCAAACTTTTGTTCCACACTTTGCAGGCTACTGTATTTGAATTCAGTGTCGAGTGTATTGTGTATGGCTGCGATCAAATCGGGGAGCTCGCTGATAGCTGTGACACCCAGGTCCTTTGCATAGTTATTAATTTCGTCCATTTTCTTTTAGTCACGTCTATTCTGATCCAAATGTATGTCTAGAGTGCGCAGGTGTAATGGCACGTACTACGTATATGTATCTGTCAAGAAACAACATTTCCATAGCGCCAGCCCTTGAACAGGGGCAATCGGATTGTCGTATACATCATTCGATACGCAGTCTGTTTACTGTTGATCGCACCAATTAGAACGGAAGGTGCTTTTGAAGTTCGGCACCTGAATCTGGTTGTTATCTGATGTTCTGTGACTGCAAACGAACCCCAAAACCGGTCCACGTGACCCTGCGAATTGATTTGATGTCTCTACAAAATTTTAAAATTAATAGACCTCTATATATTTACAACCTCTATTTAGTACGTGAGCTGAGCAGGTTATTTCTTCAGATAAGTTCGATCAACAACCTTCGACTCTCACAACAGCAAACACGTAAGTGTCTGTGTGAGCGAAGATTGTATCGCAATGGTTGCTTACTGTTTTCTTATTCGTGGGCGTTCTAATGTGATCGGTGTTTTGTCAATCTCGCTTTGTTCGCAATATCGATTGCAATCATACAGTTACAAATAATAATTGCACACTTAGAACACTTCCCCTGCAGATAGCATCTTCTTTGCTCCCAATCTGAGCACACACGCAGACACACGATGACAAAAAAAAAGGACCAAGCACTTTCTGTACGCACCAGCGTGCTGCATCTCATTACCTTATCACTCAAGTATTAATACAAACAATTGCTTTGTTCATCTTGTATCCAGGCACACATACACAAATAATGTCTCAGGCAAAGGATCAGGTCCCTCCTCCACGCACAAGTATGTCGCATCTAATCACAGGCGTAGATGGATACGTTCCCCCTGACGGTCGCACAGCCAGTGAGCTGTTCAACGGTGACACAGGATTGACATACAATGACTTCCTGTTGCTGCCTGGATTCATTGATTTCGCTGCGGGTGATGTGGTATGTCTTGTGATTTCTACGACTGTTCTAGAGTTGTTAGGCTAAATTAGTGTAGGGTGTGTGTGTATGTGCTTCCCATGCATATATCCCATCTGCCAGATCCGATGAACGTCAGTGTTTATACGCTCATGGCTTTGTTGGCAAGGTGTTAGTATACATATTCACTTAAGCAGCCACTTGTGTTGCTTATAACCCGTTAATGTACTGTCAGTGCGTAGTGCAACCTTGAACGACAGATGTTTACCAAGCATGTTTTGTGAGATGCATTGGAGTGCTATCGACACTTGATCCGCTCGCGTAGTCTATCTCTTTTGATCTGTGCCGATAGTGAGGACGTGAATAGTTGAGGGGTCGCGTGCTTTTAATCGGGATTGCTTGCTAGGTCGTTTCTGAAGTGAACAGCACTCGATGGGTAGTTGTTGGAATAGTGATAAGGAATCAGGCAAGCACTGTTATTCCCAACCGGAATGTTAGTTAAGCGATCTCGGAAGATTTAAACGTTTACTATCACTTCATCCACATTACGTTTGTAATTCCAAGCAGAAATAGACCTAATCGTACCTCTGAATCGCATATTTCCGTACGTTTATGTATGGCATAACTTCCGTTGTATTACTATCTTAATTCTTTGCGAAAGTTAGCACTTCGCCGTGTACCGCCAGCAAATCACAACTCGGTAGTCTTTGTGTATGTCGGAACGCAACGCTACTTTTTGTTGACTCGTCTGTAATCTTGGTTGCATGTATAGTGCGATGCTTATAATACGTTTTAAGGGGGTCACTCCGCCACCCACATCGTACCAGATAGGAGCATATACGTTGATTGCATACCTGCATTTGTACAGGATAATATCATATTGCAGCTCGACATCGGCTTTTTGTACTCACGTTCCTCGATTGCTACTCTCGCACGTGACACAGTCTCTAAACTCGCCGCTGACCAAGCGCATCCAACTGAACACGCCGCTGGTGAGTTCACCTATGGACACGGTCACTGAGGGGAAAATGGCCATCCACATGGCACTGTACGGAGGAATTGGTATCATCCACCACAACTGCGATGAAGACTACCAGGTATGGCGTTTATGTTCGCCCCTGTGGATTGATGTTGACTAGCTTCGGTATCATTGAGCCCTTGCAGTTCGAATTAGTTATATATTATATGCATTAAAAACACACGCACGCATATATGTGTGTGTTTAGTTCAAAGACCTTGTGCATATTGCGATGTGTGTACTTTGTGCTTGGCGCCCCTCTCTTGGCCACGTGTGATGATCACAACACATTCATACCAAGATCTGCACAGAACAAATTTTGTTGAGAAACGTGATGCTGAGCTGGCCGAGAGAGCCCATAGTGTTGTTTGACGATACTCGTTCCATAGAAGACTGCCTGTTAACAGGATTTTCGTTTAGGTTTGGCTCATCAACCTGTGCCGCACGTGTTATTGACTTCAGACTTATTCGGTGGTTATGTTAGTCTTCTCACACTAGACTCCGGTGTTCGCCGGTCTATTCAACGATGGCACACCGTATACCGAAGTCGATCGCCTATTGTCGATCCACACTAACAAAAATAGGGTGTAGCTAAACCCTAAACCTTAACCCCAAATATAATCTTGTGTATAATGTAGCGTATATAGGCTCCTGCTAGCTGCCTTTTCATGCACAATGGCACGCTGAATTGCATTGACTAAGTAGTTATTATGTGAGTCATAGACCTTCCACATTCACGTTATCTAATGACATGTGTTTGTTGCGTACAGGCCAAGGAGGTGCGAAAGGTGAAGAAGTTCGAGTCCGGATTCATTCTGGACCCCGTCACTCTGCGCTCCACAAACACCATCAAGGATGTCATGGACTGCAAGGCGACGAGAGGGTTTGGAGGAATCCCCGTCACCGAGAACGGTATGTTGTATTATGTTATATAATCTATATTTCACTGCTGTGTGTATTGTTTATAGTATCAACCCTTTTGGGTTATGCGTTGGGGTCTATATATAATGCTCGAAGGCGTTGTAACTTGCTTCATATTTATATATTTAGAACTTGCTTCATATCTATATACTGATTGTTCCTGACTTGCAGGCAAGATGGGCTCGAAACTACTGGGTATGGTCACGTCACGTGATGTCGATTTCTTCGGCGAGCACGAGTGGGAGAAGACGCTTGGTGAGGTGATGGTGCCTGCGTCTGAGCTAGTTGTGGGCCCCGAAGGCTCGACCTTGAAGGAGGCACACGTCATTCTACAACAGAGCAGGTATAGTAAACGCTCAGGTGTATGTGTGTGGTATGATGTTGCTTGGTGTATATGGTAGGGTAGTGTATGTTGCCAAATCATATCGACTCTAAGTGTATCTCAGTACGAGTTCGATCACAGCTTTGCCTAGTTTGGCGACAACAGTGACCAGTCCATCAAGGCCAGATCACACTCGCTAGATGACACCGTGTGCAGGACTGGGCTTATCTCAATGCACAGAAATCTAGTTTTATCTGCTTCTATGGTTTTACGGTTTGGTTCTGGTTTTAGAGTTTAGTTCTCGTGGTCACGCGAAGGTCCAATTTGCCGAACGAGACGGAACTCGAGGATCCGCTCATTTTGTTTCCTAACGAATTTTAAATGATTAACGTTTAAATTTATGGCTATTCTGATTCAATCAATCAGAAAGGGTAAACTTCCCATTGTGGACGAGGACTTCAACCTGCTTGCGCTCGTGTCGCGAACTGATCTGAAGAAGCACAGAGATTTCCCTCTAGCGTCAAAGGACCAGAACAACCAGTTGCTGTGTGGTGCTGCCATCAGTACACGCGACGAAGATAAGCCACGTCTCGCTAAGTTGGTGGAAGCCGGTCTGGATGTTGTTGTCCTCGATAGTTCTCAGGTAAGTGTGCCGGGGGTTGTGCTTTGCTTTAGCCCGATTCGGGTGGTATCGTCCCGTGTGATCCAATTTCCTCAGGCAAAGGCGTATTATGGAGCATACATATGTATGTCTCACTTCAGTACGTACCCTGTCAGGCTTGTCATGTTATATTCTGATAGCTGTTGACACAAATGGTGTCACGTACAATAGTAACTGTCACTTCTCTGCGCCACACAAGAGCCCGGAGGGGGTTGTAATCTGATTTGGTTGTGGAGGACTTTCGTACAGGCATGTATCGCATAGCCTACTTTTGATCCATACTCATGCACGCTCTCGTTCGTTCCCCATTGTCATTAGGGCAATTCCATCTACCAGATCGACATGATCAAGTACATCAAAGGGACATACCCCGACCTGGAAGTCATCGCAGGAAATGTCGTGACAGCCTCGCAGGCGAAGAATCTCATTGACGCCGGTGCGGATGCCCTGCGCGTGGGCATGGGAAGTGGATCTATCTGCATCACTCAGGAAGTCATGGCTGTGGGCCGACCTCAAGGTGT